ATCCATATGTTCACACAGCTTCCATTATTTGTAATGGAGATTACATATGTTCCTCATCGATGGAGATACAATGCCTTTGTAAGTTTCAGAGGTGAAGATATRCGTARAAGTTTCATCGATCATTTGTTCAAAGATTTCAGGCAAAAGGGAATTCWTGCTTTTAGAGATGACACTCAATTGCCAAGAGGAGAAGAGATRKCTTCTGAACTCTACAAGGCCATTGAAGAATCAAGGTTTTTGATAGTTATCTTSTCCAAAAACTATGCCTCTTCAACATGGTGTTTAAGGGAACTTGTAAAAATCCTCGAGTGCAAGCAATTGGGAGAGCACAAACATGAGCTTCGGATTATATTTTATGATGTTAAGCCTAATGTTGTGAGGAAACAAACTGARAGMTTTGCARAAGCATTTGACAAATATGAAGTTTCAAACAAAACAGAGGTGGATAAATGGAGAAAAGCTTTATTCACGGCAAGCAATTTATCTGGATGGGATCTCCAAGACATGGTAAATGGGTAAGTAAATGATACTCTTTAGTGCATGATATGATACTCTTTGGCATTCAAATTAACTAAGGGGACAAAGAATTCATATGCCATTATGTATAGCAGGTGATCTTCTCCCATAATGAAATATAAAATCTAGTAACTCTATGAAAACTTACCTATGCATTTGTGGTTCTTTTTTGTTAACAGCTATGAGTCCAAGCTCATTGATAGTATCTCCAGCGAAATACTTGAGAAGTTATGTGATGGACCCTTACATATCGGTGAAAATCTAGTAGGGGTGGATGCTCGTTTAAATAATCTAAACTTGTTGCGCATTGTTGGTTCTAGTAAGGTTCACATGATTGGAATATGTGGTGTTGGTGGTATAGGAAAGACAACACTTGCCAAAACTATATATAACCTCATGTATATCCACTTTGAGGAATGTAGCTTTTTGGAAGATGTCCAAGGATCCACAAAACGACATGGACTAACTCAGGTTGTAATGCAACTTATTARTGACATCATGAAAACAGCAGATGTGAAGGTATCCAACATCAGTCAAGCAATTATGGTAATGAAGCARATSATAGCATCTAGGAGCATCCTACTTGTTGTAGACGGTGTCGATCATCAAGAACAGTTAGAAGCACTAGCAGGTTCTTGTAATTGGTTTTRTCCRGGAAGTTTGATTATTTTCACAAGCAAGGACAAACGGTTGCTAGCTCATAAGGTGGATGAAATMTATGATATGGAACTGTTAGATGATGTCGAAGCTCTTGAGCTCTTTAGCTTGTATGCCTTTAGACAAAAACAACCTACAAAACACTTCATCGAGCTTGCTGACCAAGTTGTGGATTATGTGCAAGGGCACCCTTTGGCTCTCAAAGTTTTGGGATGTTTTTTGTACGGAGAGACCGTACATGTGTGGAAAAGCGAGCTGGATAAGTTGTGGACATATCCCAATGCAGACATACAACAATTGCTTCGATTGAGTTTTGATGGATTAGACTCCATTCAACAAAGGGTCTTTCTTGATATTGCAAGTTACCTTATCGGGGAAACTAATGATTTTGCAGCGAGTGTACTAGATAGTTGTGACTTTTTTGCTGATACTAGTATCAAAACTCTAGTTGACAGGTCATTAATTACTATTTCCAGCACTRAGTTACTTCAAATGCATAACTTGATTCAATGCATGGCAATGGAGATTGTTCGTGAAGAGTCTAAGCAGGTTGGGGACCGAAGCAGATTGTGGATTCAATCAGAGGTTTGTGATGCATTGAGAAGAAATAAGGTAAAAGTTGGCATATAATTTWATYTTATTATACATAAATGTATACAACTATAAGCAACTACATATATATGTTACTCTTTTTCATATAACTTACATGTTTCACAATACTTACAATCTATTGATGTTATTAATGCTTGTATCTAGGTATCAGGAGCAGTTGAAGTTTTAGTCCTTCTGATAAAGAGATCTAGTCAAAACATTCACATTGATTGTAAATCTTTCACACTTATGAATAATCTGCGGATCCTTGAAATTCGTTATCTGGAACCGCATCGGACATTTCTACGGAATCCACAAAAGGAATCTATCGTGAAGTTCTCTGGAAATTTGGAATTTTTATCGGATGAGTTAAGGCTGTTTTATTGGCATGGATACCCTTTCGACTTCTTACCATCCAAGTTTTATCCAGAAAACATTGTTTCCATTGATATGTCTTACAGCCATATAAAAAATCTCTGGACAACACCCATGGTATAATTTTACTTGTTCATATATTTATTTACGGGCTTATCAACGTAATAATCTAAGCACTTCTTTTGTCCATGATGTCAGTGTTTTAAGAAGTTGAAAGAGATGACATTGAGCTACTGCCATCACCTAACAAATTTGCCCGACTTCACAGATATTCCAAATCTTGAATATCTATTTCTTGATGGTTGTGTAAATTTGATCGAAGTTCACCCGTCTGTTGGACTGCTCAAGAGGCTTCTTTACTTGAATTTGGAAAATTGCTACAACCTCCGGAGTTTCCCAGACAAAGTGCAAATGGAATCTCTTAGACATTTGATTATTTGGGGATGCACAAAAGTGGAGAATTGGCCTAAGGTGTTAGGCAAAATCAAGACTTTGATAGAGCTTGGTGTTGATCTACCTGCCATAAACGAACCTCCATCTATTGTATCGTCTATAAGCAACCTTCAATCATTGTTGATTCATGGACACGAGCGGATCCGGTCTAGATGGCGGAATTCAGAGTTTCAACCTTCATCGTCACCAAGTAAATGGTATCATCCCCAAAGTTTTGTGATCCCTTCGTTTGCGAGTCTACATTTTCTTAAACATCTACACGTTAGCAACTGCAATATATCTGAAGTGAGCTCTGACATCTTTGAAGCCTTATCATGTTTAAAAGAATTAGACCTTCATGGGAATAGTTTTTCTAGCTTGCCTGCAAGTTTGAGTCAACTAAATCAACTTGAATATCTTGATATTAGTGATTGCGAGAAGCTTGAAGTATTGCCAGAAATTCCTCCCAAAGTTTATTCTTTTGCAGCATATGGTTGCACCTCGTTGCACGATGTGCGGAGACGACTACCAATCATGCATCCTAGGGGTTTGCAGATATATCTCTTTGGTTGTCGAAAATTGGTCGAGAAACATACTATTGAAAGCTTGGTGTCTATGTTGTTGCCACAGGTTCCCTCTTGAAGTCTATAACTTCACATCACTACAACAAAAAATCAGGTTTATAGGACTAAGTATCTTATTATACTCTTTTATAAAACTTAAGTTTATATAGTACCAAAAAGCATTGAAAAAAGTTCATATGACACTTTTGTGCGTATTAACAAGTTCTTTGGGACTTCCTCAAAAGTGTCATGTAAAAAATCTTATGCGTCCTGAAAAACTTGTTAAGGAGGCCAAGAACGTCTTCTAAGCTTATCACAATGCATTTATTTGGGACACACAATTGTTTGGTTCTATAAACGTAAGTCCTATATATAAAACAGTTATAAAACAGTTTATTAGGACAATTAAAAAAATTGGCGTCATATAAACCTGATCTTGCTGTAGTGCAGCTCTAGCAACCAACTTTTATATGCTTCAAAATGTGTGTTTACATGTTAAACATATGTGAAATCTTCAATGTGCAGGGACTAAATGACTTCGGTGGAAATTTTGATGTCCATATTCATGGAAGTAGAATTCCTCGGTGGTTTACACATCAAAGTACGAGAAAAGGTGTAATGGTCGTATTACCTTCAAGTTGGCGCTATAATAAGTTTCGGGGATATGTAGCTTGTGTTGTTTTCACGCTCAAAAAACCTTGCAATTATACTGAAGTTCATGAGCTTAGCACTCTAAGATGCTCCGTGAACAACTTTGACGGAGGTAATTTGCACCGAAAGCAGTCATGTGGCATATCTTATGAGTTCGTGGATAACTGCACAAGGATCGTTGGGTCGGATATGATATGGTTGCATTATTCGAAGTCTAAACCGAGTTGGATGAAAGCAAAGAATCTGATTACTTTTTCCTTCAGTTGTCCCTTTCTTGAGGTGAAGCAATGTGGTGTAAGACTTTTTTGTGATGAAGATATACAGGAAGATATGGATTTAAGTATGACCCAAGACCTCTCAACTCAACCACAAGAGGGTGGTATCTTTGACCCAAATCATGAGTGGGTTTTAGGATCGATTAAAGATGAGTATCCAAGGGTTGTATTTAGGTAACAGAGTGGTCTTTTCTTTCATTGAAGAAAATTCATATGTTTTTCATTTACTTTACGGTTTTGCCTTTACAACTTACGATCACGTAGACCCGTGAGACCACTTTTTTACACTTGAAACTTCTCAGCAAAATATTGTGAAGGTAACCTTCACAGTGTCTTTGTTGTGAAGGTTCAGAACTTTTTTACCTTCACAGTGTTTTGCTATGAAATTTCAAGTATAAACTTGGTCTCACGTGAATTAACCCTTGCCTTTAGAGTTTCTTTTTAATTTGTATTTGGCATCACTATTGTTTATTCCAAAAATCGTGCAACTACGACTTAAGGTTGGACATGGAGCTTCGACTAAAGTTAGATAATTTTATGTAACATGTCATAAGAAATTAACTGAAGACAGTATAAAACACAAATCTTTCAGTGACATGGAAAATCCCAAAAGAGCGGGTGGTCGATCATGCATGGATGCACTGATTATATCGATTAATGATATTGAACAGGGGTGTCGTCCTCTACAACGGGTCATACGTAACTAAATGACGTAAGAAATGATAATTATCGTAAGAACTATAACAAAGTTCAGAGAGTATTTCGGAGGGAATTTGCGACTATGAACAGCTGGTAATGTGCATCCCAGTTGATCTGAGGTGCAAGTATTTATACCGTCTTCGATTCATTATGTCTGTTATTTGCAGTTTTAGTATCTTCAGTGGATTCTTGGTCGACCATTATTACAATTATGTTTTGAACGTGTGATATGTTGCTTTTATATATAGATAGTTCAATGCTCCTTTGCATAAAGGCGTCATGAGGGTGCACCCTCACTCATCTTATCTTCATAACGTAAGTGATTGTGTATTTTAGGGGCTGTTTACCTAAATACTTACCCGGTAAAATTCAACAATATCGCTTACTTACCGGGTAAGATTTTATTCACTAAAACGTATCATATGCAACAATTTATCCCGGTAAGCGCTAACCATGGTAAGAGTTCTCGTCCTCAATTATCGGGTAAGACTCTCGATTCTTGCTTTCGCTCTTACAGGGTAAGATTTTTAGTCTTTGTCATATTCATCCGGTAAAGTAAAGTGACTTGGTAAGCGCTTACCCGAGTAAGCGTTTGGTAAACGACACCTTAGTCATATTAAGGATACTGGACTCACTGAATCATCACAGCCCATTTAGGAAATGATATTTAAATTATATGTATTCAATGTACATCTATTACTACCTAGAATAGCCCCAAAACGATGCCTGTAATTACTCTCCTTCGATCATGTATTCTACCTATATAAAGCATGTAAAATAATGAATGAAATATAGTCTTTTACAACAATTCTCTTCTCATCATAAGTCATATTCTTTTATGGCTTTGAGTCGTAAGATGTCTTAGGTCGCAACTGTTGCGAGCTCAATGGTCGTACATCGCTGGTCTTCTTACGTAGGTCGTACGATCTGAAATTTTACCCGGACAACTATCTCAAACAAATACTGATATCACCTCTGTAACCAGCTATTTACACTATAATAAAATTAGGACAATTTAGTAGAGTGCTTAATTCAAATTTTAATTTTTTTTAAACCTTCTACCACCTATTTACACCATAATAAAATTAGGTTGATAGGAATTCAAAAAAAATTAAGCGTTCGAATAGACCGTTTTGTAAAACTTAATTTATAAAACAAAAAAATTAAAACGTCGATAGTCATTGTAATAAGTTCATACGACGTTTTCGACATCGTAACAATTTTTTTAAAACGTTTTTATCACAAACGTCGTTTAGTTATTTGATAGTACACCATTTAGAAATGTGTCTTGTAAAAACAAATGTCCTATAAAAAAATCGGTTTATAAGACAATTTCTCAAAAGTGTCCTATAAATAGATGATGCGACGTTTTGCATTAAAAATGTTTTAAAAAACTTTTTAAGACGTCCAAAAGCATTCTATAAACTGATTACAACGTCTCTAGATATAACACTTTACTTTTTAATCCTATAAAAATGAATCGTATACAACGGTTTATTTGGATTATATATTGATGTCGTTCTATAGACCAAATTTTGTTCTATTATATTTTCTAAAAAAAACTATTAAGAAAAAGTGGGAATAAAACAAAACAATTCAATAAAAAATTTGTAGAGACCCAAACCAAGTAAAACACCAAACCACAGGGACCAAATTTGTAATTTACTCTCATTTTAATTCAATGACTTGTACGAGAAAAAGTTCAAAATAACCTAACAAACTATCTTATTTTAAAAGATTAAGTTCTTTAACTATTTTTTTGAATGAAAAAACCATTAAACTTTCATATTTTGAATGATTAAGTCTTTGAACTATTTTTTTTTGATGAAAAACCATTAAACTTTCTCATTTTAGATAATCAAGTCTCTAGACATTTTTTTTTCAATAAATTAAACCATCGAATATTTAGAAATTGGTTACGTATATCATTTTAACCCAAAAAATGCTATTTGTAACTGGTTATCTTTTGATTCTCCCTCTATTGATGGATAAAAAAACAGATCAAAAGAGGGAGATCAATGGCAAGGGCCAAAAACGTGTTAGGCAATACGAAGAACGAAAAACATTGGGGCAATAGGGAGTGGCGAGGTGGAACGATACAGTTGTTTGCAAGGGGTTTTATTCTTGTATGGTTTGGTCTCGGTAAAATTGATTTAGGTTTGTTTTTATTATAAAACATTCCTAATCAGTTACAAATAGTTTTTTCATTAAAAGATATAGGTAACCTTTCTTTAGAAGTTCGATGGTTTACTTATTCAGAAAAAAAAATTGTTTAACGACTTAACCATTCAAATTGAGAAAGTTTAATAATTTTTTCGTTTAAAAACATAAACTTAAAGACTTAATCATTCAAAATAAAAAAGTTTAATTATTTTTTCATCTGAAAAATAGTTCAAAAACTTAGGGGGTGTTTGGGATTACTTATAAAAACAACTTATTGACTTATTCTGGTGTGGTACCGGTAATAAGCATTTTTAAGTATTTGGATAAATAATTTATACCGATTCCAAACTGATAATAAGAAGTTTTTGAAGAAGTTAAACCATTTTAACTTATAATAAGTTGATAAACATTTTTATAGAAAAATATAAGGTATATTAAATAAACAATCCCAGACAAATGAGTGGGATACAGTTTTTTCTGGACTTTTCGGATGTGTTTAGTATGTAGACTACATGAAACATGACGAGACAAAAAAAAATAGTTCATATTTGACATGCCATGAAAAAAAAACATGAGACAAGGTGGGAGTATTTTTTATTTTAACGGGACTACAAGTTAAATAATAAAATGCTTATCTGCATAAAAGCCTATTTCACAAACTATTGATCCTTAAACCCTACATAAATTGAAGTCTTCTCTAATAGTAAATACTCTTTGATAGCTCCTCTGGACTTTGTCAATGAAAAAGCATCCAAATCTTCCAAGTCTTAGTCAACTACTTTTGTAGGGACAATTCTTATCATTGCTAGCTAACAAAGAGCTATTGTAGTTGTAGGTATATCAACAATAGGCTTATGTAACTGCTAAACTAAATTCAGTAAGGTCTCTGCCTCAAAACTATTAAGGAATTATTGTTGATGGAATCAATGTAGTTTCTGTTTTTTTGGGACTTCAATTTGAGAAATAGATCACCAACTGCAATGCACAACTGGAGTCCGTTCACAACAGGGGTTCAATCATAGATGAATAGAGGCCATGAATGTTCTCAAATAACATTGAACAACATTTAGGGGTAATATGGTTATTTTAACAGTTTTGTCCTGTCCCGTCCTAGTCGTACCAAACATAGGGCAGACAATTAGTCCCATCTTGTCCCGTCCCTTCCTGTCCTGTTCTGTCCAGTCCTATTCACGAATAACAAATATGTTTGCTTGTGGTTTTCGCCAAGGGCATCTTGCAAAATGATGGTGGAAGAGCTTAAAAGTATACAACATACATCAAGTTATGGATCTAATGACGTTTATGAAGAACATATTACACTCAGAAAAGCTGTTTATTTTTCTTCCTTTTTGTTATAATCATGATATCAGCAGATTTTGGGTCTCCTTCAGAATTGAAAGATATTCTTCAAATAGACCCCCAGTTAATCCAAAAAGAATCAGATCTCTGCCACAGGATAAGAATTTCTCTCTCTAATGGTACACCGAAAGAAGCCATTGTAATTTATGCCCAAAATCGTCGTAACCCACTTTGTATACTGAGTGTAGTCCCTTTAGTTTTCAAAGCTTGTGCCTCTCTTTCCATGATTAATAATGGAAAGGCGTTGCATTCCGAATCAATCAAAGGTGGAGTGCAATCTGATGTAGTGGTGGGAACTTCAATAGTGAACATGTATGGTAAATGTCGTGAGGTGATTGATGCTCGCAAAGTGTTTGATGAAATGCCTGTGAAGAATGTTGTGACATGGAATGCAATCATAGGTGGATATATGAGGAATGGAAGAACAAAACCCGCATTATGCTTATTTGAAAAGATGTCTTATAGGACAACAGTTTCATGGATCGAAATGATTGAAGGGTATGCTAGAACAGGTGATACGAAGATGGCAAGGTGTATTTTCGATCAGGTCCCTTTGGTACTAAGAAATGTGGTTACTTGGACTGTTATGGTTGAAGGGTATGCGAGTAATGGGCAAATGAACGCTGCTAAGGATATCTTTGAGGCTATGCCACAACGGAATTTCTTTGTTTATTCATCGATGATTTCAGGGTATTTCAAGAATGGTCATGTGGAGGAGGGTAAGGCTATCTTCGATAGAATTAAGGTTCGGAATTTGGTGAATTGGAACTCGTTGATTTCAGGGTATTGTCATAATGGTCTTTGTGAGGAAGCTTTAGATGCATTTGCAAAAATGCAAGCAGATGGGTTCGAACCCGATGAGGTCTCATTTGCATGTGCTTTATCTGCTTGTGCTCAATTGGGTTCATTAAAAACAGGTATAACTCTTCACCACATGATAATTCAAAGAAGCATTAAACTTAATCAGTTTATTCTGAATGGTTTAGTTGACATGTATGCAAAATGTGGTGATTTGACCAATGCGAGACTAATATTTGAAGGCATGCTGGAAAGGAATGATGCTTGTTGGAATGCTATGATCTCAGGCTTTTCCATCCATGGCCATTGCAAGGAAGCTCTGGAGTTCTTTGATAGAATGGTGAAATCTAGTGTGAATCCGAATGAAATCACTTTTCTCTCTGTTTTAACGGCTTGTGCACATTCAGGGTTCATTCGAGAAGGATTAGAAACTTTCTCTAAGATGGAGAACTACGGTTTATCACCCAACATTAAGCATTACGGATGTTTAGTTGACCTTTTAGGAAGGGCGGGGAGATTGAAAGATGCATATCGAATAGTAATAGATATGCCGATGAGACCAAATGACATGATTTGGATGGCTCTCCTTGGTGCTTGTCGAGTTCATGCTGACATGGATATGGCAAACCAAGTGCTTGAGAGAGTCCGAGATCAAGTCTCTGGCGATTGTTCTCACTATGTGCTTATGTCCAACATGTACGCTGCTTCGGAAAGATGGGAGAAGGCTGAAAGTGTAAGGATTGTTATGTCTCGTAAACGGGTTTCAAAAACAGTCGGGCATAGTTCAGTCATCCTTGACAAGAACCCGGCAGCTCAATTGCTATAGTCTTGTGTTTGGTCCTAATGGTCACCGGCTCGAGTCCCCTTATGATCATTGGAGGTTTTTATGGCTGTTAACTTCAAGCCTCATGGGATATTTCGAGTTGCTTGCGTACAAAAAAGTCAGATGGTAAATTTACTTTATCGCTTTGAACTTGATGATTTTTTAAAAATTAGTATTATATTAAAAATAATAATTTGATTTTAAATACGTAAGCATAATATAAAGCATTTTATATTTTTATATAAATTTATTTATATATTGTATTGTAAGTAGACCCAATCAACATACGTTTCTTGCAACCCAAATTGCTACGGAAAAGACCCAAGTTGCCTTTCCATTGAATCAAGTGAAAATGGCAAGAAATTAAGTAGAGTAAATTACGTTTTTAGTCCCTGTTGTTTGTTAAAAATTGCTATTTTCATCTTTGTATTTTTGAAATTACTATTTTTATCTCTATAATTTACAATTATGTGTTGTTTTCGCTTTTCATCCTTATAGTTTACGAATTTATTGTTATTTTTTCCCCATGATTTACAATTATTTGTATTTTCGTCTCTCATACTTGACTGTAGGAGCAAACTCAAGGACGAAAATAGCAATGAATTGTAAAGCGGAAGAAAACCAGAATTTCGAAATCACAAGGATGAAAGTCGCAACTTTTTACAAACCATAAGGAAGAAAGCGTAAGTTACTCAATTAAGTATTAGAAAATATGAAGTTGACTTGGGTCAACACAACTTAGTCTTTATATTTTTATGGTCAAGAAGTGTGATTTCCCCAATATTGTTTTATATATAACAGAGATATGTTAGAGGTGTGGATGAAGCATATCCCCGTATGCATTCTGCATAGTTCATCCAACGATTGTGAGTTATCAGCTCTTCTCCACTTTCTGCTACTTTGGCTTTTTTACAGTCGTTCATTACTGTTTATATTTCTAGTTTTTTGTCTACTGATTTTCTGGCTATGACTTAGAATTCAGAGTTTTATACGACTTTTTTTTTTAAGTATGTAATAAGTTTTCACCATAGTTTTAATTTGATTTAGAGATTAATGAGCAGTATAATAGTAAGCAAGTAACTAAACGGTATGAGGCGTGGCCGTGAGGTCAAACTTCAAGTTTTAGGAGACACACGACGTCTTTCAAGACATCATTTATGGTGGCAAGTCTGTATATCGTATATATAATTACACACACATATATAGGGGCATTCAGATGCAACCCCTCTAGATTATACAACCGATGCAACCCACTTCTCCACCATCCATTTTTTGTTTTTTTTTTTGTTTTTTTTTGTTTTTCTTATTAAGGGTAGTTACAACCGATCAAATGGACGCTTCTGATTTGGTTGTAAGGGTTGTAGGAATGTAAAGAGTTGCATAGTAACCCACCTCTATATACGTATATGTTTTCAAATATTACTCTAATATAAAACCTTATATAAGTAGGTTATATACTAAAATCTAAGAATAAAACATTAATAAGGTAAATCTACAACTCCATCTGAGTCTCTGAGCAATTCAAATTCAAGTTGCTTAGGGATATAAATCCAGCTGAGCTAAGCTTTATCTCAAGTATTGACTCATTCCCGAGTCAATTATGGGCATGATATATAACTAGTTCCGAGCCAAGTCAAATCCAAGTGAATACAAATCACTAGGGCTGTAAACGAACCGAACGAACACGAACGGAGGCTTGTTCATGTTCGTTCRTTTAACTTAACCGAACAAACGAACGAACACGAACGGTAAACGAACGAAAATCTTTGTGTTCGTGTTCGTTCGTTTAGAAATAAGGTGTGTTCGTGTTCGTTTATGTTCGTTCGTTAA